TTGGACAGCCATTTATCTGAAAGAATAGAATAGAATAGAATAGAATAGAATAGAATAGAATAGAATAGAATAGAATAGAATAGAATAGAATAACAGAGTTGGAAGGGACCTTGGAGGTCTTCTAGTCCAACCCCCTGCTCAGGCGGGAAACCCTAGACCATTTCGGACAAATGGCTGTCCAGTCTCTTTTTAAAAACTTCCATTGTTGGAGCATTCACCGTTTCTGGAGGCAGGTTGTTCCACTGGTTAATTGTTCTAACTGTCAAGAAGTTTCTCCTTAGTTCCAGGTTGCTTCTCTCCTTGATGAGTTTCCATCCGTTGCTTCTTGTTGCTTCTTAAAAACCTCCAGTAAAAACCTCCTGCACCCACAGCTTCTGGAGGCAGGTTGTTCCATTGGTTAATTGATTAATTGTTCTGACTGTCAGGAATTGGTTCTAGGTTAAATCTCTCCATCCGTTGCTCCTTGTCCTGCCTTCAGGCGCTTTGGAGAAGAGCTTGACTCCCTCTTCTTTGGGGCAGCCCCTGAGATATTGGAAGGCTGCTATCCTGTCCCCCCTTGTCCTTCTCTTCATTAAACTGGACATCCCCAATTCCAGCAACCATTCTTGGCTTGCAAAGCACTGCAATTTCCTTAGATCAGAGGTTCTCAACCTGTGGGTCGGGACCCCATTTGGGGTCGAACGACCATTTCACGGGGGTCGCCAAACAACGCAGTCCGCCATTTTCCCCCCCTTTTCCTTAGCTGGGCTACTCCCTTTTATTCTATTGGCTTTTGAAAGCCAATAGAATAGACGCTCTTGAATAGAGTCTCATTCTATTGGCTTTCAAAAGCCAGTAGGAATTGTCCAGGCTGTCTCTGCCCTGCTGAGCCCGCCAAAAGTCCCATTCTGCAAACGGTGCTGCACCAGTTGAGTAGTCCTCGACTTACGACCGGTTGGGGGTCGCGGCATTAAAAAGGTTGAGAACCACTGCCTTAGATGTTCATGTGTGGCTGTCAAGGAGGGCCAGGGAGCTTTTGCGGCTCCTTGCAAAATTCAGCTGGGAAACCAGGTTTTAAAATCACCTCTGCTGGTGCAGAAACATCATTCTGCTCGGCGAAATCCATCTTTTTTTTCTGCAGACGCTTCTCACTTTCCCCTCGTCCATCCCCAAAGGGGAAGATGGGAGCCTGGAAAAACAGTGAGTCATCAGGTGCCCAGAGATGGTTTTTAAAAGCCATTTGCAAACTGCAGGCTTCTCCTTTCTCTCTCTCTCTCTCTCCCTCCCTCTCTCTTCCCCATCTGTGGGTTTGAGTCATCCTTCCAGAGCAGCTCCAGCAATTTATCCCACCGCAGCAAACTTTTATGAGCAGAGACTTCTGGAGCAAGTCAAGAACAGCAGCTGAATAGATGAAAAAGAGAGGAAAATGCCAGCACTTAAGAGAACAACAGATTTTGGGAGGGACCCTGGAGATCTTCTAGTCCAACCCCCTGCTTAAGATCGTGGAATCATAGAATCCTAGGCCGGGAAGGGACCTCCGAGGTCCTCTAGTCCACCCCCTGCTCAGGATCATGGAATCATAGAATCCTAGGGTGGGAAGGGACCTCCGTGGTCCTCTAGTCCACCCTCTGCTCAGGATCATGGAATCATAGGATTCTATAGCTGGAAGGGACCTCTGAGATCCTCTAGTCCACCCCCTGCTCAGGATCATGGAACCATAGGATTCTAGAGCTGGAAGGGACCTCCGAGGTCCTCTAGTCCACCCCCTGCTCAGGATCATGGAATCATAGAATCCTAGGGCGGGAAGGGACCTCCATGGTCCTCTAGTCCACCCCCTGCTCAGGATCATGGAACCATAGAATCCTAGGGCTGGGAGGGACCTCAGAGGTCCTCTAGTCCACCCCCTGCTCAGGATCATGGAATCATAGAATCCTAGGGCTGCAAGGGACCTCTGAGGTCCTCTAGTCTAGTCCCCTGCTGAGGATCATGGAATTATAGGATCCTAGGTCTGGGAGGGACCTCAGAGGTCCTCTAGTCTAGCCCTCTGCTCAGGATCATGGAATCATAGAATCTTAGGGCTGGAAAGGACCTCTGAGATCCTCTAGTTCACCCCCTGCTCAGGATCATGGAATCATAGAATCTTAGCAGTGGAAGGGACCTTGGAGGTCTTCTAGTCCAGCCCCCTGCCCAAGACCATAGAATCGTAGGGCTTGCAGGGACCTTGTGGCAAAACTCCCATTTGCACCACTCAGGTGACCCCGAAGACACAGGGAAGCCCCCAAGTGGCCTCAAGGACCCTCTAAAAGAAGGCAAAGGACCAACTGTCTGCAAGGAGTATAAATCCTTCCCTTCCCCTCCATCCAATCAGAACCTGAAGAAGCTTCTGGGATGGAAAGCGAAACGTCTTCAAAGGAAAAACACGGAAGTCCAATTGCCTCTTGGGGAAAAAAACCACCTTTGTGGAGGAGCTTTCTCGCTGGCTGTAGCAACCCTCCGCTTAGCCTGCGTGAATCAAAGGTTGTGCTTGTCTGGTGTGACATTTGCGTGGGGTGCACAGGGGAGACACGCCAGACGGCCCGAGATGCGAATCTGTGCATGTCGGGACCCCATGCTGGCTCGAACAGCATTCGCCAGCTGTGATTTGACATCTTCAGCACCGCAAAATGCTGGCGAGGGGAATAACCAGAGTGCCTCTGGGGGGGGGGGTTCCCCCACCCCAGAGTCCTTTCCTTGGCTCAGGATGCTGGGGTTTATAGTCCCTGCCCCTCTGGAAGACCCCCCCCCCGCTGCAGAACTGCCCCTCCTAGAAAGACGACGCAGGTCGTCCTTGACTTGCAAGCGTTCCCTTAAGGCAGTGGTTCTCAACCTTTTTAATGCTGCGACCCCCCCAACCGGTCATAAGTTGAGGACTACTCAACCGGTCGTAAGTTGAGGACTACTCAACTGGTGCAGCACCGTTTGCAGAATGGGACTTTTGGCGGGCTCAGCAGGGCAGAGACAGCCTGGACAATTCCTATTGGCTTTTGAAAGCCAATAGAATTAGACTCTATTCAAGAGAGTCTATTCTATGGCTTTCAAAAGCCAATAGAATAAAAGGGAGTAGCACAGCTAAGGAAAAGGGGGGAAAAAATGGCGGACTGCGTTGTTTGGCAACCCCCGTGAAATGGTCGTTCGACCCCAAATGGGGTCCCGACCCACAGGTTGAGAACCGCTGCCTTAAGGATCGTTCCAAGTTAACTGGAGTCCTCAAAAAAGGTCCTCACACTTACGACCGTCGAGGCATCCCCACGGGAAACCCACCTGAAACTGAGCGGTAAGCCAGCCCACAATTTGCAATCCTTTCTTTAGGCGCCGAAGTTACAGACGGCACCGAAAAATGACGCTTAACGACGGGTCCTCACACTTAACGACCGTCGCAGCGTCTCTCAGGTCGCACCATCAAATTTCGAGCAATTTGGCATGGACTTAACGAGGGTCGAAGACCCCCTGGGTGAAGCGAGCCCCATTTGGCCACCTCCGCAGCCGGCTTCCAACAAGCAAAATCGGGGAGCAGGGAAGCTGTGTGATTCACTTACCAACCGTGTGTTTCGCTTAACAATGGTGTGATTCAGTTTAAGCGTGAAAAACAGGCCTAAGTCCCTTTTTTTTCAGGGCGGTTCCAATTTGAAACGGCCGTTAAACAAACTAAGTTTGAAAGCCGGGTAAACCACGATGTAAAAAAGATGTTGAGACTCTAGAAAGAGTACAGAGAAGAGCAACAAAGAGGATCAGGGGACTGGAGGCTGAAACATACAAGGAACGGTTGCTGGAATTAGGTATGTCTAGTTTAATGAAGAGAAGGACGAGGGGGGACAGGATAGCAGCATTCCAGTACCTCAGGGGCTGCCCCAAAGAAGAGGGAGTCAAGCTATTCTCCAAAGCGCCTGAAGGCAGGACAAGAAGCAACGGATGGAAACTCATCAAGGAGAGAAACAACCTGGAACTAAGGAGAAACTTCCTGACAGAACAATTAACCAGTGGAACAACCTGCTGCCAGAAGCTGTGAATGCTCCAACACTGGAAGTTTTTAAGAAGAGACTGGACAGCCATTTGTCTGAAATGGTGTAGGGTTTCTTGCCTGAGCAGTGGGTTGGACTAGATGACCTCCAAGGTCCCCTCCAACTTTACTACTACTACTACTACTATTATTATTATTATTATTATTATTATTATTATTATTATTACTATTAAGATGGGAGGCCACCAAGTAACCCGGAGGACGTAATTGAGGCTGGTAATAGAAAAGTCTTGGACAACAGGGAATAGATAACTAATGTCATCTAGTTGCTATTATTGTTGTTGTTATTGTTATTGTTATTAAGATCATATGGACACTTTGCACAGATTGGAAGAACTAAGAACATGGATTCCGTTGATAATTGGTATTGTCTGAAGGAAAACGGACGGGATTGTGCTGAGAGCGAGCCGGGATGCTCGGCCTTTCTCAGGAATGGACTTTGCATAGTTCATGATCTGTCCAGCACCATTTGGGGAGAGGATAAACTAATAAAGCGGGCTATTTCTTGCTCTGGGGTGAAAGGATTAACATATAATGTTACCTAGTTGGGTAATCAAACGTCTGTGAGAAAACAACCCAACGCAGAGAACACTAAGGGCCCCATAGTCTTTTTTCTCCTCCTCCTCCTCCTCCTCCTCCTCCTCCTCCTCCTCCTCCTCCTCCTCCTCCTCCTCCTCCTCCTCCTCCTCCTCCTCCTCCTCCTCCCTTCTAGCACTGATAACGTTACCTAGCTGGGTCATGAGACGTCTGCAAAAACAATGGCTGCATGTTTGATTGAATGCTTGCTTGATTGATTGATTTCTACAGCCACCTCAGCAAACTCTGGCCCGCTCGCCATTCAAAACATACATTACAATTAAAATATTTCAAAACCATAAAAGCAGTAAAGCAGCCTTCAGACCAGGAAAGAGCACGAAAACGCCGTTGCTGACCGCTTCCCCTCCTTCTCTCCCCCCATGCGCAGAACACCCTGGAGCAGTGCAGCGTCTGTGCCAAGCCCATCATGGAGCGCATCCTGCGGGCCACCGGTAAAGCTTACCACCCTCACTGCTTCACCTGTGTGATTTGCAACCGGAGCTTGGACGGCATCTCGTTCACCGTGGATGCCGGTGGAAACATTCATTGCATCGAGGACTTCCACAGGTGGGACGCGAGATTTTTTTTTTCTTTTTTTGCAGAGCTTCTGGAGGGCTGGAGAAACGGTGGGGTGGGGTGGGGGGATACACGAAGGAAAAATAAACACGGGTTGAGTTCACACAACAGGACGAAACCCGGTTTAACAGAACATCAGGCCTATAGTCCTTGTTTAATATCTTGAATGCCTGGCAGAGAATCCCTTTTCTTCCCCTTATACCAGGGGTAGGCAACCTTGGCTCTTTTATGACCGGTGGACTTCAACTCCCAGAATTCCTCAGCCAGTGTGGGGGAAACTATGGCCCCTTCATGATTTATGGACTTCAACTCCCAGAATTCCTCAGCCAGCATGGTCCCTTCATGACTCGTGGACTTCAGCTCCCAGAATTCCTGAGCCAGCATGGCTCAGCTTGGAAACCTCTCCCTTTTCCCTCAGCATGGCTGGCTCAGGAATTCTGGGAGTTGAAGTCGACGAGTCATAAAAGAGCCAAGGTGGCCTACCTCTGGCCTAGGCCTCTATTTCTCAACCTTGGCCACTCAGAGGTGGGTGGACTTCAACTCCCAGAATTCCTGAGCCAGCATGGAGGAACTATGGCCCCCTCATGACTGGTGGCCTTCAACTCCCAGAATTCCTCAGCCAGCATGGGGGAACTATGGCCCCCTCATGACTTGCGGACTTCAACTCCCAGAATTCCTGAGCCAGCATGGCTCAGCTTGGAAACCTCTCCCTTTCCCCTCAGCATGGCTGGCTCAGGAATTCTGGGAGTTGAAGTCCACGAGCCATAAAAGCTGCTGCAAGAAGATCACCCAGACTGACTACAAGCAGCGGCTTGACAAAGTAGCAACAATGGTGCATTGGAAGATCTGCAAGAAATATCACTTGCCTGTAAGCAAAAACTGGTGGGATCATAAAATAGAGAAAGTCATAGAAAATGATAAAATTAAACTGCTCTGGGACTTCAGAATTCAAACAGACAAGCACCTGCAACATAACACCCCAGACTTAACAATTGTCGATAAGAAAGACAAAAAAGTCTGGATAGTGGACGTGGCAGTGCCTGGAGACAGCAGAATAGACGAGAAAGAACTGGAGAAGATAACAAAATACAAAGACCTACAAATAGAAATAGAAAGACTGTGGCAAAGCAAGCAAGGGTAGTACCAATAGTAATAGGCTCCTTGGGTGCAATCCCAAAACAACTGGAGCACCACTTGAACACCATTGGCATTGACAAATTCGCTATTAGTCAATTGCAAAAGGCAGCCTTATTAGGAACTGCTTCCATCCTGCGACGATATCTGTAATACCATCAAACATCCACATCTGCCTATCCCAGGTCCTGGGTAAGGACGCGATAGGTAGACAAAATGCCAAATCCGGTCTGAACATCTGGCTGACTGTGCGATGATCGATAATAATAATAATAATCTGTTGGATCTATTCTAATCCAATCTGTTCCAGGGTTTAAGGGGATCTAATGCTTAAGACTCTTCTTTGTCTACCCAAATATTGAATTGTGGATATTTCTCCCCCACCCCCCAGGAAATTTGCCCCACGATGCTCCGTCTGCAAGGAGCCCATCATGCCCGCCCAGGGCCAGGAGGAAACCGTCCGCATCGTGGCCTTGGACCGCGACTTCCACGTCCAGTGCTACCGGTGTGAGGTTGGTGCCTCCAGCCCCCTTCCTCTCTTGCTTTGCCCCCCCCCCCTTTGAGTGGACCTTACGAGGCCAGAGTCTTCCCGGGAAGCCTAGAATCCTGGCCTCCCTGAAAGGGCGAAATGTCCTGGTTTAAGTCCACGGCTGCCCAAGCCCCAGTTCAGCCCTCAGCTGAAATAAAAGAGCCCTGCTCCAGGTGGGCAGGTGGGAGATGGGTGGGCTTCAAGGGGGAGAATTCTTCAGGAAGGGAAGGGAAGGAAAAGGAAGAAAAAAATGGAGCTAGGAAGGGAAGGAAGGGAGGGAGGGAGGGAGGGGAGAAGAAGGAAGGAGGGAGAGAGGGAGTGAGGAACGGAGGGAGGGAGGAACAGGAGAGAAAGAGGGAGGGAGGAAGAAGGAAGGAAAGAGCTAGGAATGGAAGGAAGGGACGGAGGAAGGAAGGGGGGAGGGAGGGAAGAAAGGGGAGAGGGAGGAAGAGGAGGGAGGAAGAAAGGAAGAAAAGGAGGGAGGAAGAAAGGAAGAAAAGGAGGGAGGAAGAAGGGAAGGAAGTATAGAGGGAGGGAGGAAAGGGAGGGAAAAGGGGAGGAAGAGAGGAAGAGAAAGAAAAGGGAGGAAGGAGAGAGAGAGGATGGAAGGAAGGAAGAGAGGGAGAGGCATAGAGAAGAAAGAAGGGAAGGAAAGGAGGGAGGGAGGAAGAAGGAAGGAAGGAAAGAGCTAGGAATGGAAGGAAGGGACGGAGGAAGGGAGGGAGAGGGAGGGAAGAAAGGGGAGAGGGAGGAAGAGGAGAGGAAGAGGAGGGAGGAAGGAAGAAAGGAAAGAAAGGAGGGAGGAAGAAAGGAAGGAGAGAGGAAGTGAGGAAGAGGAGAGGAAGAGAAGGAAAGAAGGGAGGAAGGAGAGGGAGGGAGAAAGAAGAGAGGAAGAGAAGGAAAGGAAGAAGAGGAAAGGAGGGAGAGAGGAAGGAAGGAAGGAAGAGGAGAGGCATAGAGAAGAAAGAAGGGAAGGGAGGGAGGGAGACGAGGGAGACCCTCGGCCTCTACAAGTACCCCCCCGGGGGGGGCTCAGCAGATGGGAATCGGGCTTGCAACCCCTCCAACCGAAGGGCCATTCCTCCCCCCCCCCTCAAGGCCCAGGCTTTTCAGCCTCACACCTCAACCCCCCCCCCTCCTTGCAAGGAGAGCCACACCCGGGTTGTGTCCGATCCCGGGGGGGGGGGGAGTCTAAGGACCCCCGACCCGTTTCCCCTTTCTCACACCCGGCCCGGCCCCTCACCCCACCCCTTCCCCCCCCCGTGTCTCCCTGCAGGACTGCGGGGGCCTCCTGTCCGAGGGCGACAACCAGGGCTGCTACCCGCTGGACGGCCACATCCTCTGCAAGGGCTGCAACTCCAGCCGGATCCAGGCGCTGACCGCCAAGGCCAGCACTGACCTCTGAAGGGGACGCCCGGCCACGCTGCTCCTACGCCTTCCCGGGACTCTCCTGCCGGACTACTGTCCCCCCCCCCACCCCACAACCGGTGGTGCAATCTTTCACCAAACACCCCCCCTCACCCCGGCTGTCTAGGGAAGGTATTTCTGGGTGGGGGGGCTCTTTCAGGGGGGTCTTTTCTGCCCCTCCCCTTGGAAAGGACCCCTCCCGGGATTCTCGGAGCGAGAGAGACACACGTCGGATTTCGATTCCGGGGTGTCGCTCTCCGCCCCCAAGTTTGGAGAACTTCAGAATGGGGGTGTCCGGGGTGGAGGGGGAGTCCCTAGATGGGGGGGGGGAGAGTCACGGCCACACACCCCTTTCCCCTTTGCATGCCTTTGATTGCACATCTGGCACCTCATTTCGAGGATATTTTATATTTTCCTGGCACCTCATTTCGAGGATATTTTATATTTTTCCACTCTGTGCCTTTTCAACCACAATGGCCTAAGACCGGGGTGGGGGACCTGGGCTCTTTTGTGACTGGTGGACTTCAATTCCCAGAATTCCTGAGCCAGCCATGCCTGGCTGAGGAATTCTGGGAGTTGAAGTCCACGAGTCATGAGGGGGCCATAGTTCCTCCACGCTGGCTGAGGGATTCTGGGAGTTGAAGTCCGCAAATCATGAGGGGGCCATAGTTCCCCCACGTTGGCTGAGGAATTCTGGGAGTTGAAGTCCACGAGTCATGGCCATAGTTCCCCCATGTTGGCTGAGGAATTCTGGGAGTTGAAGTCCACCAGTTATAAAAGAGCCAAGGTTGCCTACCCCTGCACAAAATGAAAGGCTGTAACTTGAGGACTAGCTGCGCATCCAAATTCTCTTCTATCCAGCCCCGTATCGTCACCTCTTCTGATATTTTATAAATGCCTTAAAAAGGAAAGGAATCAAAGAAGGGGAAAAAACGATAAGAATTGGAGGCTGGAACCTTTGTTAAAGTGAGTCACACCTGATTTGACGACATTTCTTGCCCAGTTGCTAAATGAATCATGGTCGTTAAGTGAATCTGACTTGTTTCGTTGAGGAAGCCAGCTGGGCAGGTTACAAAAGAGGATCCCGTGTCCCGGGACGCTGCAACTGTCGTAAATAAACGCTGGTTGCCAAGCGCTCATATTTTGATCATGTGACCAGCCGTCATAAGTGTGAGGACCGGTCGCAAGTCCCCTTTTTCAGCGCCGTTGTAATTTTGAACGGTCGCTGAAGGAACAGTTGTAACTCCAGGGCTACCTGTATGAATTTATTTCTGGGTTTTGCAGTAAATTTACCCACATTTTCAACCTTGGCCCTTTTATGAGGAATGGACTTCAACTCCCAGAATTCCCCATCCTCCAGCACCGGAAATGATGACTAATTTCGCTGTTCCTTCCTCTGCCAAGCTGTGGGTCATCCTCCCTCCCCAACTAGCCAGGACAGACCTGTCAGGAATACCCTGGTCTGAATTTGCAGTTCTCCCTGCATTTAGAACATCTAGCAAATCAGGGAGAAGGTTTAATGCAGTGGTTCTCAACCTTTTTAATGCCGCGACCCCCAACCGGTCGTAAGTCGAGGACTACTCAACTGGTGCAGCACCGTTTGCAGAATGGGACTTTTGGCGGGCTCAGCAGGGCAGAGACAGCCTGGACAATTCCTATTGGCTTTTGAAAGCCAATAGAATTAGACTCTATTCAAGAGAGTCCATTCTATAGGCTTTCAAAAGCCAATAGAATAAAAGGGAGTAGCACAGCTAAGGAAAAGGGGGGGGGAAATGGCGGACTGCGTTGTTTGGCGACCCCCGTGAAATGGTCGTTCGACCCCAAATGGGGTCCCGACCCACAGGTTGAGAACCGCTGGTTTAATGGGAAAGATGTCGCCTGAGGAGCTACTTGTTTGAAGTGCAGGGATTTTGAAAGAAAGCCACTTTTTAGCACAGGTATGTCAGCCTCCAAATCTTATGTTTCTATTCTCTCTCTCGTTGCTATCTGTGGGGGGGCAGGGTGGGGTGGGGTGGGAGGTGAGTTCTAATGCTGCCAAATCTGTAACGTGTGACGTTGAATGCGGTTAGATTTTTTGCCTTCCCGGATTTTAGCTCCTGTCGTGTAGAAGAATATATTTATTGCAAAGCTTTATTTAACGGAGTGCCCCAGCAGTGCCTTTGGCAGAAGAAATGTCGGGCCTAATTTACTAAAATGGGCAGTGAAGGAAGACTTGAGACTAGGGCAGGGGTCTTCAAACGTGGCCCTTTGATGACTTGTGGACTTCAACTCCCAGAATTCCTCAGCCAGGCATGCCTGGGGTGTTGTTGTTGTTTTTTCCTCCTCCTAAAGGGGAGAGATTGCAGAGGAAGGGATTACAAGAGAGTAAACTAAGGCTTGCTGGAGGGTTCTGGGAGTTGAAGTCCACAAGTCATCAAAGGGCCACGTTTGAAGACCCCTGGATGAGGGTACTGTTTCTCAACCTGGATAAGTTTAAGACAAGGTGGACTTCAACTCCCAGAATTCCCCAGCCAGCATAGCTGGCTGGGGGATTCTGGGAGTTGAAGTCCACCTTGTCTTAAAAGTTGCCCAAGTGGAGAAATTCTATTCTAGAAACATTGCTGATGATCTTCTTCATTTTCAAAATGAATCGTTATTTTTCATTCCTGAAATTCTTCTATCTTAATTCTTCTTATGTTATCTAATCAGATGCTTCTAATGGCAAATGCACCACTTTTCTTCTGCTTATCAAATTTCAAATTGCCACTTTTCACAGAGAATGTATTATATCAGCGCTAGATACATACAGAGGAGACACAGCAGTGGGGGGGGGACATAAAATATACAGGTAGACCCTTAACTTATGACCACAACGTATGGCTAGCTGGGGAATTCTGGGAGTTGAAGTCCACAAGTCTTAAGAGTTGCCAAATTTGAAGATCCCCAGATTTAAGCCGATTTCTTTTAACTCTCTTGCAGCCCCCCTTTTTTGGAGGGGGCGTATTTGGGAAGGAGTGACTGGAGAAGAATGATCTGGAAAAGGAGAAGGGAAGAGCAATCTGGCCGAGCAGGAAATAGATTTGTCGAAAAATAAACATGGGAACCAGATGAGAAGGGATCCCAAAGAGAGATTAAGAAATAGGATACCGTGGGAAAGCTTCGTTCTTAAACATTTTGCAGCAGCAAAACAAACTACATTAATGTTTGTTTTTTTCCCAAGTTGGCAACTTTAAGGGATGGGGAATTCCCATGGCTGGGAATTGAAGTCCATGCAAGCTGGCTGGGAGATTCTGGGAATTGGAAGTAGACAGAACCACCACCAGATGGATCCGTAGCTGGCTGACCGGCCGTACTCAGCGAGTGGTCCTCAATGGAACTGCATCTATATGGAGGGAAGTGTGTAGTGGGGTGCCCCAGGGCTCTGTTCTGTGCCCAGTACTCTTCAACATCTTCATCAACGATTTGGATGAAGGGATAGATGGGGAACTCATCAAATTTGCAGACGACACCAAGCTGGCAGGAATAGCCAACACTCCAGAAGACAGGCTTCAGGTACAGAAGGATCTGGACAGACTTGAACACTGGGCACTAGCTAACAAAATGAAATTCAATGGTGAAAAAAGCAAGGTTCTACATTTAGGCAAGAAAAACCAAATGCACAAGTACAGCATAGGTGGCACCATGCTCAATAGTAGTAACTGTGAGAGGGACCTCGGAGTCCTAGTAGACAATCACCTAAATATGAGCCAGCAGTGTGCTGCAGCTGCCAAAAAGGCCAATACAGTGCTAGGCTGCATTAACAGAGGGATAGAATCAAGATCACGTGAAGTATTAATACCACTCTTCAATGCCTTGGTAAGGCCACACTTGGAATACTGCATCCAGTTTTGGTCACCACGATGTAAAAAAGATGTTGAGACTCTAGAAAGAGTACAGATAAGAGCAACAAAGATGATTAGGGGACTGGAGGCTAAAACATATAAGGAACGGTTGCTAGAATTTGGTATGTCTAGTTTAACGAAGAGAAGGACAAGGGGGGACATGATAGCAGTATTCCAATATCTCAGGGGCTGCCATAAAGAAGAGGGAATTAAGCTATTTTCCAAAGCACCTGAAGGCAGGACAAGAAGCAACGTGTGGAAACTCATCAAGGAGAGAAGCAACCTAGAACTAAGGAGAAACTTCCTGACAGTGAGAACAATTAATCAGTGGAACAGCTTGCCTCCAGAAGCAGTAAATGCTCCACCACTGGAAGTTTTTAAGAAGAGACTGGACAGCCATTTGTCCGAAATAGCGTAGGGTTTCCTGCCCGAGCAGGGGGTTGGACTAGATGACCTCCAAGGTCCCTTCCAACTTTACTACTATTACTATTACTATTACATATTCTGGCTGGAGAATTCTGGGAGTTGAAGTCCATGCATGCTGGGTGGGGAATCCTGGGAGTTGAAGTTCATGCATGCTGAATTCTGGGAGTTAGTCAAAGCATGCTGAATTCTGGGAGTTGAAATTCAAGCATGTTGAATTCTGGGAGTTGAAGTTCATTCATGCTGAATTCTGGGAGTTGAAGTCAAACCATGTTGAATTCTGGGAGTTGAAGTCCACCCATCTTCAAGCTGCCAAGGCTGAAAAAACAGTGCCCTCCAGTTGTTGCCCATTCAGGCTTTGGGATAAGGCCACCAGGCTGAGAAAAGGAAGTCTTGGGGGGCTGAAACAGCCTGGTGGGGGCAGGCCAGGGGTCTGCACAACTTCATTTACTCAGCTCAGCTCAGAGGGGAAGGAAAGGGAAGGGCTTTGCTGGGGCAAACGGCTCCGATGCAGAGTCCCATAGGCATCCTTCGTTTATTTTTATGTTTCATCCCGGCATCTTCTCCTCCACCCAAAGCATGCAAAACATGCTTTCATGTGGCACATTCCACCCACCGGATACCTTGGCAAATTTGGACCTGTCTTTACAGCCACAGCTGGCCAGGACCTTGAAACTCTTCATACAGGGAAATCTGGCTTTTGGGTGGGAAATACCCATTGGGCAATCCAGCCCAGCCCACTCCCCCGGCTTGCCGCTCCATGCAACCTCCCCTGAAACTTCCTGACAGTGAGGACAATGAACCAGTGGGACAGCTTGCCACTTGAAATCGTGGGCGCTCCATCCCTGGAGGTTTTTAAAAAGAGGCTAGACAGTCACTTGTCTGAGAAGGTATAGGTTCTCCTGCCTGAGCAGGGGGCTGGACTAGAAGACCCCCCCAGGTCCCTTCCAGCTCTATTCTGTTCTATCTCTAGGTATTCTGCAAAGCCACAGTCTATATATAAATCTCACCTGAATCTCTCTTTTGAGCAGAGATTCTATCAGGGATACAATCAAAGATCACATGAAGTGTTAGTACCGCTTTATAAGACCTTGGTAAGGCCACACTTGGAATACAGCATCCAGTTTTGGTCACCACGATGTAAAAAAGATGTTGAGACTATAGAAAGAATCCAGAGAAGAGCAACAAAGAGGATCAGGGGACTGGAGGCTAAAACATACAAGGGACGGTTGCAGGAATTGGGGATGTCTAGTTTAACGAAGAGAAGGACGAGGGGGGACATGATAGCAGCGTTCCAATATCTCAGGGGCTGCCCCAAAGAAGAGGCAGTCAAGCTCTTCTCCAA